CCTTCTCTTCCGTGCGCTGATTGCGGAAGAATTGCTCGCAGCGGTACAGCCATCCAAGTGGGTCACCGCTGCCGCTGTATGAGGGGAACTCCAGACGACTGTATTTGGGTATGATTGCTGTTGTCGTTCTGTCGCTCACCGGAGCCCTCTGTCCGATTTGGGCGGCGGCTGTGGTTAGTGGCTGCCCCTTCAGGGCTCCCTTTCCTGGTGGAGAAGTATAACTCCAGTAGATGCCGAAGTTCCCTGACGTCCTCTTTAACTCCTCTTACCTCCGTGTGATTTTCCACGAGACGGTGTTCCAACTCGTGAACCTTGGACGATAGCTGCTCCATGTCGCCCATGACGCTTGGCTCTGATACCAAAATGTTATGGGCCCAGGCGTAGGATCTCGTCACTGGGCGGTTTGTGGGGGAAACTCCTTGCCTTCCCTTGCCCTTCCCTTTGCGAGTTGACCCTATGGTGGCAGACTGAGGGGTGATTTGTTCAAGAGATCACCTAACTCTCCTTGCTCCTTTTCTTGACTGAAAATTCGATACCTTTATTGAATGAAATCAGCTCCTTAAATAGGAGATTACAAGAGGGTTTCCTTCTTGTATTCGGCTAAGGTAGTCCCTCTCTTATCACAACTTAAACTTCTATCGAAACTCAAACTCCTACTACTAAGGGGAACACAAAAATAGGGGATAAGGGAAAGGTACAGCTGGCGTTGGCGAGAAGGGCTGTTGTGGCCGAATAAAACTGGGCCCACCTGGATGAGCTGTCATGTGGGCCCTGCTCTACTGCTGCTGATGTGAGGTGCGTGCTGCTGCCGTGTGGTGCGTGCCACTGCCGTGAGGTGCGTGCTGCTGTCGAGTGCTGCTGCCGTGCGGTGCGTGCCGCTAGGCGTGCGGCTGGCACTGTACCGTGACGTGCTGCCAGGCAGCCTGTACCGCGGTGCTGCCGGGCGGTGCGTGCCGCTAGGCGCGCTGCTGCCTGTGATTGCGACGCAGCGTGTTGCCGGGTGTCGTGTCCATAACAGGATAAAGGAGAGTAAGAGAGAGTCCTTGATTTGGGGTTAGTTAACCTGACAAATTTGGTGTTAGAAATTGAGAGGGGTTTGGTTGAAATAGGAAACCAAGGAAGAGTTAGATCCTCCTCCAGAAGCGAGGAGGGAGAATAGGAAGCTATAGAGAGACCAGTGGAACTCAAGGAATTGCCTAAAAAGAAGAAAAAGAAAGACACTCAAGAGAAGCCATTACGGGTCAAGGTGTACACAAGGAAGGATAAGGGTAAGGAAGGTAGGAAAAGGAAAAGGAGTGAAGTGGAAAAGTTGTTTAGTGAGATAGACTATGATAGGGGAGAGAGCAAGAGGAGAGGTAGAAGAGTGGAAGGTTTTTATCGAATGATTTTGAAAGTTGGGCCCAAAGTTGGTTTTGGAATGAAGATTGTAAGTTGGAATGTGAGGACTAGGGACTGCGAAGAAAAGAAGGATGATATAAGAAACTCTTAGAAAGGAGATGTGGTGTTATTGCAAGAAACAAAACTCTAGGAGATTGACAAGAGATAGATTAGGAGCATTTGGAGTGTAAGGGGTTTGAGTTGGGTCTTTGCACCTTCTTGAGAAGCCTCTAGAGGTATTCTAACTATTTGGAAGAATGAGTTGGAGGGTCTGGAGGAGTTAATAAGGCAATTTTCAGTATCAAGTAAAATCAAAAGAGCGGCTGATGGTAAGGAATGGGCATTGACAAATGTTTATGCTCCAAATTCCTGTAGAGATTGGGTTCAATTCTGGGAAGAGCCAAGTGTAGTTAGGGGCTTGTGGGAGGGACCTTGGTGCTTGGGTGGTTATTTCAATTTAATATGGTTTTCAACAAAGACAAATAACCCAAGGGAATGACTACAAGTACGAGGAATTTTGATGAGTTTGTGGATTTATTTGAACTAAAGGAACTCCCACCGCTACAAGCTAACTTCACTTGGTCGAATTTTCAAGACTCCTCGATTCATTTGCTCTAAACCGGACAGGTTTCTTTTTCTTAGTACAAGGAACATTATATAATGGTCCCTCTCCGTTTAGCTTTGGAAACATGTGATTGATCCTCACCTTTGTGGAGACTGGAGAAGGTAAAATCTTGGTGGTAAGAATAAGATCGTAGAGGCTCAAAGAGAGGTGCCAGTTCCTTGAGGAAACTAAAGAGACTAAAAGAGAAAATAAAAGCCTGGAATAAGGATCCTTTTTACTGAAGTTGGATAAGAAAGAAGCTCTTTTGTTGAATAAATTTTCTTTTTTATTTATTTTCAGAAAAATACATAATCTGTTTTGTTCTCAGTAAAAATGATCTATTTGACTTGAATTTGAACCACTTTTAAATATTATTAAATGTTAATCCTCTTTTTAAAGTATATGTTTACTATTGCCAAATCATAAGCTGTTATAAATTGTAAAATTGTATCTCTTATTCCAGCTGTCTCCTTGAACCCAAATTCTCCATACACCCTATCATACTCTGCAGTTCTTTCCCCTACATGACCATTTAGATCTCATTTTATTAAAAACCGTATTTCCATTTAGAATTTCTTGAATTAGTTCATCTAATTTTTTTCTAAAATCATCTTTTAATGTTTTTTAACAGCACTAATTACTAACAATATCCATGCCTAAACAAATCTAATTAAAATTGGTCTATCCCTAATTCATTTAACATATACAATTTCGTTTTTAGATTCTTCCCTACTATTGTCGCTATCTCATTTTTATTATTTATTTCTCTTTTATAACATAGTTTATAATCATCAATTTCTTCTGCTTTTTCCCTTCCATTTTATTTTCTTGTGATTGTCAACCAAAGAAGAATTTCACATTGGACATTCTTATGTAATTTAATGAAAGAAAGTTGTTGCAGGAGAAGAAGAGAGAAGAGGAGAGAAGAAGAGAAGGATGGGACAGAACATATTGTGAGGCTCAATTGAGACCCCATCAGCTTTTATACTTTAAGTAATAAAAAATGAAATTACAAGTCTGCCCCTCCTTAGGCAGAAGCAGTTATAACACCTCATAATGAAATAAAAATAGGCCCAGCCCACAATAATAAGAATAAACAGCCCAAAGATATAAACAACTAACTAATAGGCCCATTAATCCACTAACAACCATAAACATAAGTTAACTCACTTTCTGCACTTGTAAGCATGCTATCATTAATCCTCCTTTTCATTGTGTCAACTAGTTCCATAGTCTTATCTATTAATGTTCCTACATTCAGTGCTAATTGAATTCCTGTCTCTTTGACTAACTCCTTTATCCACCCTCGTCCAAAAAAATGTGGAAACTCTTTGCCTCTCTCACACTGAAAACAGGCATTGTTGTAGCATGTAGCTTTCAGGAACATCCAACATACCCTTGACCATTTCTCATTACATTCAGGTTAAGGTCTAGCATGTTTCTTCTTGAGAACACCCTATCATGAACACAAAATGACAATTCAGGATCTATGTTCATAAGAGTTTGGCAAAAATTTTAATGCCATCTGCCGACCTAATACAACCCTCCTTTATCCTGGCTCAAGAATGACAACCTCACACTGGTGGAGTTAATTATGCTCTTTACTATATTTTTTTTTATCGTTTTCTTTCATGTACATTATTAATTTAAGGATAATGGTTATTGTACAAGTTCTAGTATTTTTGCATCCTCTTTGGGGGATGATTATCCAACTCTCATTTCTTTTCTTTGTCCTGATCTAAATATTGTTAATCTTAATAGGTACACTGGCAGCCAAATATGAAAAGCTTGGAGGTGAAGTGAAATGGATGGGAAAACCAGATAAGGTGATGCATACATAGCATTTAGACATTTGTTCTGATACTATGAATACACTACTGGGCAGGAAAAAAACATTCAGAATGCTCAATTCTGGACATGTACAATATGATATTACACCAGCTTACTAATTGTGTGTATATGGGTCATGCAGTCAGATGCACTGTAGGAGATTAAACTGAGCTACCAACTAATTGAATAAGTTTGACCTTATAATCATATAGGTTTCTTTTATTCTTTTATACCCTATTATCATTTTTTCTTCCCTTTCTGTAATTGTCCTAAAGGTAGCAATTAATTGGTTTTGTAAGTTTATCTAGTTCAATGAAGTTTCAGTAGAAGATATTCTGAAGATCTGCCAACAGTGGATCCTATCCACTATGCATTTTCACTTTGCACTATATTTAGCCTATGATACCCGGATACCTTACCTATACCAGGTTGCTTATTGTGTTGGAAATTTTAGTGTAAATTTCATATATGATACCACATCCAGCCATGTTATATCTGGGTAAGATAGTATTTAGCCACAAGAAAGATGCTAGATATCTTGGTTGAACTATAGTTTTTTTTTATTCCTTTTGTTTCTTCTTCCTGTTTCATCTCCTTTACCTAAATAATTCTTTCTTCCCTTCAGTTAGTTAATGGATATTTATATGCTAGTGGATCTTATGCCAGGTAATCTATAAAGAAGCCATGACAATGGCAGGTGTTGATGCTTCTGATTGTATTGCTGTTGGGGACTCCCTCCACCATGATATAAAAGGTGCAAATATAGCTGGAATTCATTCAGCATTTATCACTGGCGGGATCCATGCAACCGAACTTGGTCTGAGCAATTTTGGAGAAGTTGCAGATTCATCTTTTGTCCAAGCCCTTGCATCTAAATATGGTGCTTATCCAACATACGTGCTGCCAGCATTTACATGGTAGTCTTTTGATATTGGTAATATTCTCTCTAGTCCATTTATGTCATGAAGATGGAGTCCTAATTAGCTCAGGAATGAAATATTGAGAAATAGGATCCTCTCTGTGGTTTAAATGGCACATTCATAATGGAAGGGAGCATGGAGTCTCTATGGATTACCATATCCAAGAGATTTTATCTAAGAAGGATGTTTTTTTCTTTCAATTTTATCTTTTTACCAGTAGGGGACAATCGACAATGTGTAAGTATTGTTGATTGCAAAATCATATCATTTTCCTTCTAACATATTTGTGAATTGCCAAATCTCTATTTGAGACAAATAATGTGGACAAAGAAAATGTAGTCAAATGCTTAAAGCATGAGCTTGGTGATGCCTAGGCAATCAATTGCTCTAGCTAGGTTCCTAGGGCCTAATGACTGCACTATAGTCTGGTTGAAGGCTTTGTGGTAAGTCACCCATACTTCTGTGCATAGATTTTGTACATTAGTCCTTAAATAATAATATTATGCATTGGTTTTACTATTATATTATTTAATTGAATATAAAATTGAATCATCGTTATTTGAATTAAAATAAGGGCCATTTTCCAATTTGGGAGGTGTGGACTGGATATGAACCCGGGGCAAAAAGTAGCAGATATGGCCCTCTAGGACTTAATCCTCATTCTCATGCTTGTGAACCCGAGGTTGTACCAAGCAATGGTCTATGCATTAGACTTATCATCATACGATAGAGAAGATTGTACCAAGCAATGGTTTATTGCTTGTACCAAGCAATGGTCTATGGCCCTCTAGGACTTAATCCTCATTCTCATGCCACCTTTTTTACCTTTTTTAGTAGGTCGCCTAAGCCTAAGCCAAATTTCTATTTTGATCAAAATATATTTTAATTAGTCAAATAAGTATATATAAGTTGTTATAGAATGTTTTTTTTCTTTCTTATTTTTTTGACACTATGTTGTTAGTTATCTAAAAGAAAGGTCATTACCCAATGCCAGTGCGAGCTATCTAGGGTCTAGAGTGGTATTCCTAACCTTTGGCATTTTTTCTCGTACAAAGTGGCCACCCTCAGAGTTGAACTGACAATCTCATTCTTGCCAGCCCAAAATTTTACCATTACACCAAGTAATGGCCCCTATGGTGTTCTTTGGTGAAACGGAGAAAAAGAAAATCTTATCAAGGTTTTATACAATAAAATCTCTCAATTTAGATGAGGAAATTGAACTGTTGAAAATAAAATAGTGTTCCCCCATAAATTATTATATTGATATCATATACTATCATGGTTCATAATGTCGGTGATATTTGGTGAAATTTCTCCAAAATTTTCTTATTTTGTTAGGGAGTTATATAAGTTATTTAGAAATCTTTTTTTTCAAACATTTTCAATATATTGTCAATATATTAGTGATATTTCAAATTCCAATATTGATAAATTATACATTTGAGGTTTAAAATTTTAGAATATTATTAGAAATTTTATGATGACATCATAATCAACCATGCCCTATCCCAACTATATGGGGTCAACTGCATGAGTCCCGTTTCACCAATCCAATATATTTAAATCCATATCCACTATTAAATTATTAGTGCTTAAATCATTTATTGCTACCTCTACCATGTCCTTTTTGGTCTACCCTAGCTCTTCTAGCCCCTTCTACTTGTAACAAATCACTTCTAACTAGAGTTGTTGATGGTCTTTTATGTAATGACCAAACTATCTTAGTTTACTCTTTTTCCTAGGTTCTTACAAATGACTTCGTTCCTAATCTTATCATTTCTAGTTTTTGTACCCATCCATCTTAGCATTTGCATTTCTGCCATATCCATTTTCTGCACATGTTTTTCTTGACTACCCAACACTCTGCTCTATACAACATAACTGACCTTACAATCATTTTTATAGAACTTTCTTTTTATCCTAAGTGCTATTCACCTATCATACAAGTCTAGATGCACCCCTACATTTTTCCCAACATGTTCCTAATTCTTTGAGTGGCATCCCCAATCTCTTCCTTGTTATGAATTATTGAACCAAGGAATTGGAAATAATCACACTGAATTATCTCTTAGTCTCCAATCCTAACTATATCCCAATTTTCATCCCTATTATTACTAAACTTACATGTCATATACTCTATTTTAGTCCTACTTATTTTAAAACCTCTTGTTTCTAACACATTTGTCTATAATCTTAATTTTGCATTTAATCTTTCATTAGTTCCATCAATTAAAACATGTCACCCACAAATAGCATGCACCATGAAACTTCTTAAATATGTTTAGTTAATTCATCTATGATTGGTGCAAATATATAAGGGTTAAGTGTTGAACCTTGGTGAAAATCCACCGTAACCATAAAATATGAAGTCTCCCTTATTGGTGTTCTAACATTGGTTCTTGCCCCTTGTACATATCCTTAACTAGGTCTATATAACCTATTTTGAACCCCTTTTTTTCAAGACCTACCATATTGTCTCTCTAAGAACTCTATTATAAACCTTTTCTAGAATGAATACCATATGAAGACCTTTCTTCTTCTCTTTGAACTTTTCTATCAATCATCTCAAAAGAAATATAGCTCATGGTTAATCTCCCTAGCATAAAGGTAAATTAGTTCTATGATACATTTGCTTTAAATCATAATCTTTGTTCAATTATTCTCTTCCTAAGTTTCATAGTGTAGTTTATGAATTTAATCCCCTGATAGTTATTACAACTTTGCATATCACCTTTGTTTTTAAATATAGGCACTATACTATTGTTTCTTCAATCATCAAGCATTTACTTTTCTTTCACTATTTTATTAAAGGATTTTTTGCTTTGACAACCCCTATACTTTGCAAAAACAAACAAAACTAATTGATCTAAATAAGTAAATTAAGCCAATTAAGCAAGGTCTTAAAAATTGACCCAAAATAGAACCACTTTGACCACCAGTTTTTGGGTTAATGGTTTGATCGTTTGGTCTAAAAAATCAACCCATGACGTTTTGAAAAATAAAAATATAAAATATAACTAAAATAAAAAATGACCCAAAAAACATTTACAGGATCAACCATTCAATCATCTAGATCAGTGTTTTATTGACCAAGTTAAAAATTTTGGGTGGTCGAACCATTTGACCTAGGAATCAGTCAACTGTCTAGTTCCAATTTGGTGTCAGGCATGAGGTTGGAGGATTATATTATCTTGATGGTGGTGTTTCGTAAAAAGCCTTTTCATACATCACTTTCACCTTGCAATGGCATTGTCGGTTGGGCCATCCATCTCTTCCCATATTCAAGAAGCTTGTTCTTAATTTGGTGTCCCTTAAAGAGTTGCAATGTGAATCATGTCAGTTATGTAAACATTGTACAGCGTCATTTGTTCCAAGAGATAATAATAGAGTCTCGAGTCCATTTGTTCTTGTCCATTTAGATGTCTAAGGTTTATGTCGTATTGAATCATACAATGGGTTTGATTACTTTGTTATATTTGTTGATGATTATTCAAGAATGAGTTGGATTTACTTAATGAATCTCATTCATAAATTGTTTAATATCTTTCTTTTATTCTATGCTGAAATTGAAAATCAATTTGGTGTTTCCATCAAAATGTTTCATTCCAACAATGCAAAAGAATATTTCAAAGTTCATTTCAATCATTCTTTGCCTCTCATGGTATTATTATTCATTAATCCTCATGTTCTAACACACTATAACATAATGGTGTGGCTGAACAGGAAATTAGGAATTTACTTTGATATTGCTTAGGCCCTTCTCATTCAAATGTTGATCCCCAAAATTTATTGGAGTGATGTTCTTCTTATGTCATGTTTCCTTATTAATCGTATGCGCTCTATGGTTCTAAATGGTGAGTCCCCATTTTCTCTTTTGTTTTCATTTCTCTCTCTCTCTTTTTCCACTTCAGCCTTGTGTTTTTGGATGTCTACTTTGTTCATCATCTTGATCCCGGGATGAATAAACTTGATTCTCATTCTCATAAATGTGTCTTTTCGGGGTATTTTCGTACTCAAAAGGGATGCAAGTATTATAGTCCTCTTCGTCAATCCTTTGTTCTTCTAGATGTGTCTTCGTCGAAAATGTTCCCCTTTTCACTATAGTTGACCTCCTTTTCCTCCACCTATTCCTTCTACATAGGTTTATCTACTCGATTTCCATTGTATAGGCACCTATGCGCCAACCACTTCACAAAGTGTTTACTTCAGAATCATGGAGAATTTTTCCACTAGCTCCGGCTTCTCCTCAACAAATCCATTTAACTTAGACTTGTTTATTGCACTTCAAAATGGTAAACATAGTTGTGCTAATACCCCATCTCTCGTTATGCCTCTTTTGCTCATTTATCTCCTTCACATCAACAATTTATGTTTCTTCTTTCTTTTGTGTCTGTTCACTCTCTATAGGAAAACCTTCTCTCTCCTCTTAGAAGGAGGCAATGGATGATGAATTTTGTGCTCTTCAGTCCAATAATAATTGGGATCTTACTCCTCTACCTCTTAGTAAAAAGGCGATTGGATGTTGATGAGTTTATGTAATTAAGCATTGGCTTGATGATAGTGTCAAGTAGTATAAGGCGAGATTGGTGGCAAAGGGCTATAAACAGACTTATGGTGCTGACTACACTAACACCTTCTCTCCAGTTACAGAAATGGGGTTTGTTTGAGTTATCCTCTCTTTGGCAATTCACTTTGATTGGTCATTGCTTTAGCTAGACACGAAGAATGCCTTCTTCCATGGTAGTCTTCAGGATGAAGTATATATGGAGCAACCTCTTGGGTACGATGCTCAGGGAGAGGTAGGAAAGGTATGTAGGTTAAGAAAGACTTATGGGCTAAAACAATAACCATGAGCTTGATTTGGTTAGCTTAGCAGTGTGGTACAACCATTTGGGTTGAGACAATGTAGTACAACCATGGAAGAATGCCTTCCTCCATTGTAATCTTCAAGAGGAAGTATATATGGAGCAACATCTTGGATACGTTACTTAGGGAGAGGTAAGAAAGATATGTAGGTTAAGAAAGACTTATGGGCTAAAACAATCACCATGAGCTTGGTTTGGTCAGTTTAGTAATGTCGTACAACCATTTGGGTTGAGGCAATGTAGTGTGAACCATTTTGTATTTAGCAAAGGTACATCCTCTAGCAATAGGCTTGCCAACGGTACCCAATAGTCCACTACCTGATATGAAAATCTTGTAGTCGGAGGGATCAATATATTAATGGATTAGATTTTGATGGGAAGATGAAATCTGATTAAAAATTTGATCAAATTTGGATTTACCCCAACCCAATACGATAAAAATCCACTCTGATAATTGACTAACTCCATCCCTATTGTTTGACTATTGTCTTAAAGTATCCCTATTGTTTCCCACAATTGCCCTCATCGTTAAATCCTAACAGAGGAAGGTGAATTGTCACTTTTGCCCCTATCTTAGATAAATACACCAAAATGTAAATTATGCTTTTGACCATCGCTTTAATACAGTTTTGTTGATTGAGTGGATAACTCAGT